TCTCTATATTGATTTTGATAGGTCATTTTGTATGACAGATATATGTTATTATGGTCCGATCTGAACAATATGTTCGGAGATTGTAGCATTGGCTTAGAAAATAATCTATGCCAAATTTCGTGAAAATATATTTCTAAAAAAAAAAGCTTTCTAAGGACTTGATTTTGATCAGTCAGCTTGTATGACAGCTATATCCTGTACTGATCCGATATCTGCGGCTCCGACAAAGGAATGACAGTTTCTTGGACAGAAAAGAGGGTGTACAAATTTTTGAGCGCTATCTCAAAAATTGAGAGACAAGCGCGCATATATACAGACGTACATTCGATATCGACTCAGTTCAGGGTATAAAAATGGAACAAATTGAATTCTTGAAGTTTATAGAAACTATTTATAGTGTCAACAAAATTGTAGTAAAAAACAATAACAAAAGAGTATGCATTAAAAACCGGCAAAGAGGCATAAGCAAAAAGTTTAAGAAATTTATATGCTTAGTATATCCGTTCGAAACTTACATTTTTTAAAAATCTTAAAAGCAATAATCAAAAACAAAATAGAAAAAAATTATTAATATAATACAAATGAGTACCCACCTCTGTACGGTGCGGCCTTTACACGGTTCATACACTTCATCGTAAGTCAATTCGTTGGTCAATACATAACAGAGCCCTTGGCCAAAGCGATTCTCCATCATTTTGGTGACGTAACGATGCGCGCACACAAGTGCCTATAGAACAACAAAGCAAAACAAAGTATTTAAGTATAAGAAAACAACAATAATCATAGATGACAAATGTAGCGGAATAGAAAAAAATTATGTGGCAACAATGGCATTTATGTATGTTTGAAAATAGAGGAGACTCCACCCAAAAAAAATTTAATTCACACTCCGGAGCTACTTCAGTTCACATAAGAAAATGAGTTGGGAAAAATGCTTAGAATTAATATGTGATTTATCGGCACCAATGCGGCTAAAGAAAGCGCTGTTTACCTTAATTAAGTCATTAACGATTTATGTTTAAGTATGCTAACAATAACAACA